ACATTTTTTAACTGGTAAATATACAAGGTTAGGTATGTAAGGTTGTGCTCCATCAAGAATATGTAATTTTAATAAACTAAAGTGAATAACGTTATTGTCGTTTTAATATAACATACAATTCACAAAATTTGTAAAATACTTACATTTGGCAGAATAATCAATTGCAACAATAGGATGAGGACCGTCATCCTGAGGCACAGGAGTCACATCTTTCCATTCCTCACGTTCCTGATATAATACCCAACATGTTTCTTCAGAATTATCTCCACCGTCTAATCCATTATCAGAGCTTTCCGTCATTTTCTTATTTTCGCAAAATATCGTACAATGATAAAAATGAAAATCTATTTCTACAAGTTAGCTTCTGTTCAGTTTTGTGTTTACAAACTTGTTAAATCACACTCCATTCGTCTTTCAAGACTTACGTATTTAGTATTTCAAATTATACCATAGATGTCCTCATCGAATAAAACAACTTTAGATATAAAATTATCACTTTATTTTCGAATATAAAATTAATTTTATAATTATAATAGTAAAATAAAAATATTTCAACTACAAAAAACACGAATGTTCAAAATATACAAAAAGGCTTTTTCTTGCACTTTGGTTTATACTTTTCTAAAGATATAGAGATTGTCATTTTAGAATGAATACTTTAAAACTGTTTATTTAAAATTGCCAATCACATATGAAAGCAATAATTTATGTATTAAAAACGAATCTAATTAGGATTTATATTGTACTACTAAAAAAGTGGTGTACACCTGCAAATTCAATTTTATATGTTACATCATCTTTAATTTACAACATATTAAAATATATGCCGTTAGTTTATTTTAAACTGTTACGTAATTATATGAAATATAAACAGTTTCAAATAAAATAAGTATCATTCTATAAAAAAAATCAAAAGGCCTTTCATTTTTTTTTTTAGTAATTATAATTATCACATAAAAAATTCTAGTGAACATCAAAATATTAAATTTGTTCCTTAAATAGTTACTAAATAGTCAGTTTCCAAAATTTTATATACATTTACGTATACATTATTTTTAATACATTTATTAGATAACACAACGAAAACATTGAAGTTATATTTCAAAGCTGTTTCAAATAAAAAATTTTAATAACATGGTTCATAATACAATTATTTCCTAAAATAATCTACATATCGCGTATTTTCTAGAGAATAATCTGGTTTGCATCGAACATTCATCTCATTCTCTCGTACTTGTATTCTTTCTCACACATACTAAATTAACAAAATTCTGTCATTACATAGTTCCATAATCGTATTTCTGTCACTTATCGAGCAATCAATTTTAATTATTGTTCTCATATAAGTCCGAGTGTTTGAAATTGACAAGCATATGAAATTCCAACATTTTATGCATAGAATCATACAGGAAACTGCTAGTACAGATGCTATAATGTGAATAGTTATATACACAATTTACAATTTGACCTGCTTTTACAAAATTGTAATCGAATGCATAATAAATAACATATTAGGTATAGCAATTGTTTGCGAATGTTCACATTTAACTTTTCAAATTATTCATTAGCACAAATTGAAACAAAAATTTTTGAAGTCTTGCAATCTTTAAACTTCGTTCAAATAGTTTTTATGTAATTATAATGCAATAGAAGTGACGAATATTTAATTGAAGGATATCTACCAGCACTTCACCCTTCAAATTTAAATTAACATATACTATATCCACTCATACATGCTCAAAAATTAAAATGCAAAAACTGCATCCCGTAATTTTTGTTACAATTTTGTTGTATATGATACAGCGATGCAGTTTTCTTGAGCACATAAAATGATTGATGTCCTACAGCTCTGTGTGCACAATTAATTTTTGTCTGAATATATGTTGTCTAAGTATAATTAATTTTTCTCTTCTTTCTTTTCAGGTCCATCTTGTTGTTGTTGCTGATTTTGACTTTGGTTTTGACCTTGACTTTCTCTTTCCGCAGCCATCTACATGCAATTAAATACATTTAATAGTAAATATTTGTACCAAATTTTAACTACCTTCAAGATAACGATTAAATAATTTACACACTTTTTTATATGCCATCTCGAACACTTTAAGACTAGCTTGCTGTAATTCATTTATCTGTCTTTTAATTTCTTCTGGTTCTATATCATCTTTTTTACCCAAGGTTTCTCGCACTTTTGTAACCAATTCTCTGAGTTTGTCACACTATAAACAAATGTTAAATGAAATTATATATCAATATAAAAAAACTAATGTGTATAGAAATGTTATAAAGCAAGCATATAATAATATTTGATATGTAGCTTTACCTCATCCTGAGGTAACTGTGCTTTAAATTCTTCCAATTTAGATTCCGTATCATGAATGATTCCTTCAGCTTGATTCACAGCTTCAACTCTTTCTTTCTTTACCTGATCTTGTTTAGCATACTGTTCGGCATTTTTAACCATATTTTCAATTTCATCTTTACTAAGACCACCACTTGATTGAATAACAACTGCAAATAAAAAGTTAAATTGTTTAATTATAATTGCTTCTGTTAACGCAATTAAAAATTTAATTTGAATTAATTTATAGACTTTCTACATACTTTGTTGTTCTTTGCCAGTTCCCTTATCCCTAGCAGATACATGAACAATACCATTGGCATCAATGTCAAATGTAACTTCGATTTGTGGCACCCCTCTTGGTGCAGGCGGAATTCCAACAAGAGTAAATTGTCCCAAAAGTTTATTGTCAGATGCCATTTCTCGTTCGCCTTGGTGTACTTTAATTTCTACTTGAGTTTGACCATCAGCTGCTGTAGAGAATACTTGACTTTTCTTGGTAGGAATAGTTGTGTTTCGAGAAATTAATCGTGTGAAGACACCACCTAATGTTTCAATACCTAAAGAAACCAACATTGAATATCAGTAATGACTTAAACATATATTAGAAAGTAAAGATTTATTTCAACAAGCACTATAACTCAGTAAACTATATTCTTCATTTTCATCAGAGAGAAGATTAGTTCTTAGAAACATCATAGTCTACAGATAACTTCAGCTGAATCTGTTAGAAAACAATTCCTTACCAAGTGATAAAGGAGTAACATCCAAAAGAAGAACATCTGTTACATCTCCAGCAAGTACACCACCTTGGACTGCAGCACCAACTGCTACAGCTTCATCAGGATTAACAGCTTTTGATGGTTGTCGGCCAAAAATTTCTTGTACAGTTTGTTGTACTTTAGGTACTCTTGTCATACCACCAACCAATAATACTTCACCAATATCAGATTTCGATACTTCAGCATCATTAAGTGCCTTCTGACATGGCTGAATAGTACGTTTAATTAAATCGGTAACAAGGCTTTCAAATTTGCTTCTCGAAAGCTTCAGGTTTAAATGTCTTGGTCCGCTTGTATCCATAGTCAAATAAGGCAAATTTATGTCAGTTTGCAAAGAACTAGACAATTCAATCTTTGCCTTTTCAGCTGCTTCTTTCAATCGTTGCATAGCCATTGCATCCTTAGCTACATCTATACCTTGCTGTAAAAGGAAAGAACGATATTAAAAACATACATAATAAATGCAATTACTGTAAAAGGAATTTCTATACACATACATCTTTTCTAAATTCTGATGCAAGATAATTAACCAATGCATTATCAAAGTCTTCTCCTCCTAAGAAAGTATCTCCATTTGTGGACTTTACTTCAAAGACTCCTTTCTGAATTTCCAAAATTGAGACATCAAAGGTACCACCTCCCAAATCGTATACAGCAATGCTAAAAAAAAAAAAAAAAGAATGTGTTACACATATAAAACATGATACTTTTATTTATTGAAATAAAAAAAGATATTAGTGAATTAGTCAGTATATAATTTCAGCATATGATACCATGATCATAAGAGACGAAAAATAATAGCATCATTCTTAACTTGCTAAATTTAGGTGTATATAATAAATTATCATGAATTCCTAATATAATTAAAAATACTAAAACTTTTACATTTTATCTTCTGTTTTGTCCATGCCATATGCAAGAGCAGCAGCTGTTGGTTCATTAATTACTCTAAGTACATTAAGTCCCGAAATTTGACCAGCATCTTTGGTAGCCTGCCTTTGTGAATCATTGAAATATGCAGGTACAGTGATTACAGCATTTTTTACTGGCGTATTTAAATATGCTTCTGCTGTTTCCTTCATCTTCACGAGGACAAATGCACCAATTTGACTAGGAGAATACATTTTACCATCAGCTCCTTGTACCCATGCATCTCCATTAGACGCTCGGACAATTTTATATGAAACAGTTTTCCTAAAATTATAAATTTAATGATTATAAAAGAAAATATTAATTAAAAATTATATACAAAACACATACATATCCTTTTTTACTTCAGAATCCTCGTATCTTCGTCCAATTAGTCGTTTTGTTGCATAGAATGTGTTTGCTGAATTTGTAACTGCCTGACGTTTAGCAGGCATACCAACTAAGCGTTCACCCTCTGAAAATTGATCAAGCAAGAAAGTTCCTCACTCTGTTTTATTTAAAATGACTGTCTTTTATTTAAGCAACCCAGTATGGAAACCAACATATTAATAAATACATCATTCTTAATATTTTGTATATATTCTATATAATATTATTATTATTTACATGTTATTTTTATTATAAATATATCTTATTATCAATAAGATTGCTTAATGTTCATTCTCAATATCAATTAGGAAGATACTGATAGTTTGATATAACAATACTTCATAAGAGAAGAGGAAGTTTAAATTTGATAACTATAACAATATAGTTCCTGACCTTTAGTAAATGCTACAAAAGATGGAGTTGTTCGTGATCCTTCTGCATTTTCTATGACCTTAGCTTGCTTTCCTTCCATAACAGCTACACATGAAAATGTTGTTCCAAGATCAATACCAATAACTGCACCTTTTACACCTTCAGACCTGAGTAAAGAAATAACATGATTTGATTCATATTTAAAAACACAATCAGAGTAATTCAGTTATTTTCATTTACTTGTGTCTATATTGATGTAATTCTGTAAATCGTTGGGGCATAACAAGTGAAGGAGCTGCAACCTGAAAAATAACAAAATACTATTACCTGAAAAATATTTAAAACTAAATATTTTCTGAGAAACATTATATTTGAAGATTCTAAGTATTGAATAATAATATAATGAACAAATTTTTAATAACATTTGTTATAAATAATCTATAATAATTGCAGATAAAATAAATATTAATAAAGTTCTATCTTTTCAATAAAAACCAGTTTAAAATATGCAAAAACTATGTTGAAAGCAAATCACGTGCCGGCTAGAAAACCACCATTGCTTAGGCGTTGTTAAAAAGAATTATTTAAAGTATGTTCAATAATTGTAAAGAACTAATAAATGTATAATAATAATGTCAATTAAACGTTACATGGTAAATTAGAAATAATATCATGTAAAGTGCACGTGACGAAGGAACATTCGGCACATGAAATTCCGAATGTTTAGTCGCCATCTAAACTCACATTTTTAAGAATTGTGCTGAATTGTTGTTTCCTAGTAATATCGCAAGTTATATTGGTGCAGCTACGCGTTAACAACCTTGCAACGGTCAGCATTTTAATTTTCACGTTTTATCGTTCAAATTTATGAAAAAGTTACGAAGAGACGCGGATACCCCAACTTCACGTGTAGTGATGCAACCTTTCCAAAGGCTAGTAATGAGCACACCACGCACGTAGTAGTTCTACTCTGCTCTCAACTGCGTAACTTTACACGACCAATCACAACTAAGTTCTAAATGTATACACCAATGAATGTATTGCATGGCCTTCCTGCTTCTCGTGACTCGAGAATTATCCGGAATATTCTACTACATTATAGATGTTATAATTATTAACAAAATGTATCCTGAAAGACTAAAATGAAAAATGTGACATAAATTGTACAGTTAATAATTAAAATTACATGTTATTACAATGTATTTTTACTGTTTTATTGTAAGTCAAAAGATATAGTTGTTCAACAACTAAAATTGTATATGAAGATGTTCTGTTTCATAGCTTCCGGCATTTAAACGTTGATGCAATAACTTAGTGGTATTACACCAGTGTGATTGTAATAATTTATTACTTATTTACCAAAAATACAACGAGGTATGGAAAATATTATTTCATGCAGATTAATAATATTTTATTGCGGAAGTGACTTAATCTACTCAATGTATATTTATCTGCATTGACAAATGCTTTTTTTATTTCAATTTAAATTATAACCATTTGGAAAGTTATTAATTTTATTACTCTATAATTACTTTTTCATAAAGTAATATCTTAGTCTCCGAGATATTATATATGTTTAAATACTATACATTTTTCGTATCGAAAGATCAATAAATGCTGTTGAATAGAAAAATTACTAAATTTCGTAAAGCCACGTTTCAATGAATACATGTGAATAGATATAGTAATTTTCATTTTCAGTAGGAGAGAAGAATACGTTTTATTGTAATCATTTAAAGTGATAAGTTATCAGTGTATTTGTAATTGATAGCAAAGGATAAAGGAATCTTTTAGATTTATATAGGATCATATGAATAATTATCTTATAGATAAAAATTTACGAAAAATGCAAATTTACATTGGATTGTTTTTAGAAAACGTTACATTGTTTATTTAATTGAATAATTGTTTTTATGACGTGTTGTTTAATTTAGTATCAGGAACATATTAAAATTTACAATTTTTAATAGTTTACGTAACTTTTCATTTGCTTGTTGTCTGATGAGAAAAAAATATGTACATATAATGTACTTAAATATATACAACTAGATCGGATTTTTAATGCATGATTTAGAAATGGATATAAAGCAACCATACATAAACATATAAAAAATTCTAAATACATATAAATATAGGAAAGGGAACAAAATATATCACTCGTATTAAATATGATCAATCGACATACATCGAATAAATAGTTCTTAAATAGTAATGCGTTTTATTTACAAATGTTTTATCCTTTGTAAAAATTATAATTTATCAAACTTTTAATCAAATGCCATAAACAATGAAAACAAAATGTTAAATATATCTTATAGCTAATATAATTTCAGTTTTTTTACAGTAAGGAACAGTGTTGATTAACATAAGCACTATTGTCGTCTATTACTAACAGCTAAAAATAGTATCTGTTATGTACAATTACAAATAGCAAAAATGTTAAGAATCATTCTTTTCTTTCCAATGTGAAAAATTTGGTGATCCGCTCGTGTGTATCGTACAGTTTATCACTTCGTTCCTAAAAAGTTTCAATGTTTCATTTATGTGTCATCTGTGATTAGTAATCATCGTTATTTAAAAAAAAAAATTACACAATTAAAATGACGAACTTACAGAAAGCGATCTCTCAGAAGAAAGGCTCTAGGTTGAACCCAATTTAACCTCTCACCGTTGTAACATAAAATTTGTGCCATCGTGATCTTTCTGATTTCTTCTAATTGATTTAAAGTAAACGATCCTGGACTGTTTGCATTTTCATACCAATACCTATCGCCTGTACAGTATATCAAATGTAATCGATAATAACTTTAAATAAAATTCTTAATAAAAATCACTTACCAAAACGAACATTTCGAAAAGTACGGCCCAATAGGCAAAGAAATGTTGGTCCCAAAACTGAATCAGCCAATGGCGCTTCTGAAAGTGCTCCTGTCACTAAATCTACATCTTCTATCTTTCTGTAAAATGAACACAATATAAACAATGCAGTATAACGTTACGTAAATATAGGGAAGAACGCACAGAACGCGACGAATATCTAGCAGTCAGCAGTGAACGTTTGCACTGAGAGCATGTATGGGGAATCCCTATTGAAGAATATGTATGACAACAAAAGGAAGAACGCACAGAACGCGACGAATATCTAGCAGTCAGCAGTGAACGTTTGCACTGAGAGCATATGTATATGGGGAATCCCCATTGAAGAATATGTATGTACAATAAAACTTCGTACGATCAGGGTAAACTCTAACTGGACGGTGAAAAGGTGACAAACTGAATGAAAAGGTCGTTTCTTATAGGAAAAAAGCAGAGTTTCCGTAGTTCTTGTTAACGCAAAAAACGCTTCTAGATCCACGAGGTATTACGTAATGTCGAATAGGTAAAGCAAATCGGGCAATTCTGGGTAATTTCCGGGCTCGCGAGATATCAGAACGACTTTGTCACTCGAAGGAGCAGTTTCAAAGAGGACTTTAAAACTTCTAATTGTTGAATAATTCGGATAATTTCGAATACGAATTATTTATTCAGATAATTCGAATATTCCAAGTGTTTGAATTTCGGATTGCGTCGAATATTTCGTACATTACGAATTTTCGAATACACACACGATAAAATTTACGCAAATATTAGTTCAACGTTACTAATGGTGAAAATCAAATAAAATATAAAAATTAGAGATTTAAAAAACCAACTATATGCAGTACTATGTCCACTTAATACAATACTCATAATTACTGAAAAGAAATTGATTTCGATATAGCGTTTACGTTGAGCGTTAATTATAGCATCTGTGGCGGGTACGTCGTCGTCAACAAACCCTTACCGAACGTCGTTCTACTCTACCATGCGAACTTTCTCTTTTCCAACTCCTTCAGATTTTAGTTTCCGTTCTTTTGTCTCTCCCCGGGTTAAGACTTGCCTTCGTCCTCGAGTAGCCTAAGAAGCGCACATGTGGCATCCAGGTTCGCACGAGGACGAACGAATTTTTCGTTTCCACCACTTTCTCCACTTCTATCTTTATCTCTATCGCTACTCCTGTCTCCCTGTCCTAACAATATAAAAACCCAGTACGCCTACACCTCCGGACAGTTTGTTCCTTTACCGACCATCGCGACGTACCCGCCGAACCGCTGCCGCCGGGACAATTAACAAAGTAAACGATTGTATTTTCTGGACAAATTGTACGCCTATACGACCATACACTTATACTTTAATAAATTGAGGTGAAATCAGTGTAACGACGTTCCTCACCCACCTCAGCATCTACACGTGTTTGTCACGAATGTTTTCTTACTTGTAAACTTTTCGAAGTCTCTCTATCGTATCTTTGGTCATTGCTCCTCTAAGGTCTTCGAAACTGGTGATGTGCGATAAATTGCAAAATGTTCGCCATCTAACGTAAGTCGGTATACCGTGATCCCTCCCTTGCTGTATCACTTGCGCGGCATAATCCACCGCGATATCGTTGCTTTTTCCATCGTGGAAGTATCGTTCCAAAAGGATTTCGTTCAGTCCCGGCGGCAAAGGCTTCCTAGAATGTCCCGCTGTCACGGAAATTAAATCTTGCATCCTAGATCGTCATTAAAACCAAGTTCTCATGGGACAACGTATTGATAGATCGTAGCAATATTCAACAACATTTTGTCGAAATCTTACGCATATTTTTAATCAATTTCTGTCACATCTGTTTAAATGTAATATCAAGAATCTGCAATTATCGTGTGAATTGAAGAAACTGTACGATTTTTACAATTTAAAAAGTGAAACGGTTCCGAGGTTTATTGTGAAAAATAAGTTAAGAAATGAATATTAAATTTTTTGCATACCTGAACGAACATTTCTCAATCGTTGAAATTATTTATTTTATCAGTATAATACTATAGTATTCGTGTATCATTTTCATTTGACCAGAAAATTATTATCCTAGCTACGGTGCTTTGAAAATTGAAAAAATTAAAGAAGAGTTTTAGAGAATTTAATGAAGAAATTTCGTTTCAATTGTTATACCAATTTTGCATCAGATCGTTCAAAATGAACATGAATCGTAAGAAAGTTTAGCCACCGGTGCATGGAACACCTTGTATAACTGCCATGCACCAGGAAAGGTTGCGTTAAAAACTTTGCCATTTAAAGCAACGACTGCACACGCGATTCTAACAACAAACAACTGCGAGTCGAATAATTTACTTGAACTAATGGCATTTTTATTAGCATATCATTATCCTACATATCGTCGTTCTTTTGTTAGACACTATGAAATAAATACGAATGAAGGAGAAACGCGAGATGAAATCATCGTTTAAACCGAAGTCATTAGTTTCAATCAAATTCCACTGTCTACTTTCAATAATTATACAATAACACAATAATTTCAGAATCTTCAGATCTGTTACAGTTATATGCCGAAAGTCGTGAAATAGTGCGATTTTCATAATTTTTAATTATTTGTAGCTCATAGCAACGTTAACCGATTTCGATGAAATTTTACCTTTACAATTTTCTTCGCGATTCCCAAAAATTGCAATTTTTTCAAAATTTATTATACACGTCGTCTAGTATACTAATCCTTCTAATTCCCCCCCTCCCCAAAACTCAAGTCGTTAGGTTCAATTTTAAAAAAATTACACTGTTGTACTAAACAGCTGTACCATTCGATAAAATTATAATTGATCTTACGAAACGAACGTCTACAAAGAATTCGTTCTATGACATTATGTGAACTATACCGTGTGATAGTTAAATCTTGCGAAACGCACCATCTAAATAGTACCTGTGCATGTACGAAGATGGTTTTCCGTCGAAAATTATGCTTAGACGTAATTTTCAACTGACCTGTAGCGCCGGCGATCAAGCGATCAATAGCACCAGCTTCATAGAACTCTTGCGGAGCGTAGAAGGCCGATAGTAAGGACCTTTCTCCAGACTTTAACGCCGATCGCGAGTCAACTAGGTCGAGGGTTTTTGGGGTCAGCGTGGCAATGAAGAAAAGCCCAACAGACGCGGCAGCGTTCGAAAGTGTCGCATCCGTTCGTGTATCGTAGCCTCGAAAATAGCCTCGATACGTTAAGCGTAACTGGTATCTTCGAATATAAGATTAAATCAAGCGATCTTAATACACACATGCATATACACAGCGTGTTCTATGATACCCAAACGAAGTCACCTAAACATTTACCTCAGTTTAAGTCAAGAAAAACAGTTTAAATGCAATTTGAACGGTATCAAAGCTCCTATACGCTGTGACGAATATTTCTGTCCCAAGGTCATTTTCTCGGAGTGTTCAAGGTCACCCATATTTTTTGCTACAAATGCACATTTTTATTCTCTTGCGTATTGTAGTTGATACTGAGATGCATTTAGAGATGTATAATGAAAGTGACCTTTGACGCCCAAAATTCAAGTTAAATACAAAATGCATTTCCATAGAAATCGCAGGCATTTTTTACCATATCCACTTGATTTTCAGTCGTTAATGTTTAAGCACCTTCGAAGGGGTAACTTATTTGATTCTCTTAAATGTTTTAGAAGATACGTCATTGCTATCAGAGCTTCGAAGCGTTTAACTTTGTGAAAAAATTCTGTACAAAAAAGGGTTTAGAACCGTTCTAAGGCATTGATAAGATAAGAAACGACGAGTGGAACGAAATAAAAGCTACGAATGAAAATCTCGCGATGTTCGTCTGTCCAGACAAGTGGACCTTGGCTAATCAGTTTACTTTAATTATGAGGCAAAAGAAAGAACACGTACTTGTTAATAGTTGTTTCGCCGACAACAACGGGCAGAAACTCGTTATAAGTTATGTGCTCCATTTCCGCGATAACGATCCTTCTTGCTTCCTGGTAGAGTCTCTCGTCGTCCCAGTTAGGATTCAATTGTCCCAGCTCTATAGCGACACGGTTATGTTCGCGTAGAAAAAGTACGTGCATTAGAGTGAGACCTGGGTTCTCGTTTACCCGCGAATCCCCGCTAAGAAAACATGGGAAAGCTTTGTTTACGCTCCTGCAGCTTTCGTACTTCGGCGAAGGCATGGGCAAGTTCTTCCTTTGCGTACTAAGCAAACCGCCTTTGCCGGATCGTAGAGCTTTTGCTACGTCTTCGGAACTTCCATAAACTGGAGAAAGGTCTAAGTACGACGACGCTTGGTTGATCTGCTGTCGAGGACCTAGTTTGCAGCCCTACGTCGGAGAAAAGATACTTTTATGCAGTTTTTTAGGCATTCTTTAGTGCGTAAAACACACCTTTTTCTATTTGAAGGAAATGTGACATTATCTGGAAGGTTTGTGCCGATTTTCGATACGATAGATAAAACTCGGTGAAGAAAGATTCTTTATTATACTAGTTTTTTTTCGTACTGTAGTTGTACTGTTCCGAAGATGGAAGAAAATAAGGTACACTTACGATAATTAATGGTTTTCTTTAAAGGGGAAAAATTATACTGAAACACAGTAACTGAGGTGTGTAATGTCTACGGAGAATTGTTTGCAAAATTTAAACATGGAAATTTCGATATTAAAGAAGATAAAGATAAAATCAAATTTCCGGAAAGAAGGTGAAAAGCTGTAGAACAAAAGGGTGCATACCTTATAGAATAAAAGACTTATTGCTTTAAAGTACGGATGTTATTTATTACTTAAAAATCTGGGCAAATGGAAAAAAAGAAATATAAGATAATAAAGAAACGAAAATAAGATTTAGAAATTGTTATAAATTCGTAAAACAGAAGCAGGTACAAATTCAAAGGCAGATGAAAGTATCACATCTCTATCAGAACTTCTATCGATCGTTATAAATCACTTTAATCCATCGCTAAAATAAAGTACTCCATTCGCACGATACATTTCTCCTACCTGCAGCGAATTTCCTGGATGCGGTGCCGACCTCGAATACTCCATGCAGCCTACAGCGTTATCGGCCCGGATCGGGTAGCATTCCGGATGAAAGTGTTCGTAATCGACGTCGCAGCATTTCAGTTTCGTCCCATCGGGTAATCCCATCTTCGGCGTGTGCGTGAGATCGTGAACGAGAAATTGACCGAACAACGCTGTGAGCGCCATCAAGTACGGATGCTTAAGGTCCAACCCTCCGGAATGCACTCGCAGAGAGACGTCTCTGGCGCTGGGTAAATCTGTACGCGGCAAAGAGACACCGTCCACGTATTCAGGTGGCAGAAATCGTACGTAAGCCTCCAAAGCGGCGCCCCAAGTCGGATGTAAGCCATTATTGCACTTCCCGCTGTGCGTTCTATAGCGCGAATCGATTCTTTTGCAACTGCCCATCACTTGCAGAAACGTGGGCGAGCCAGGACAATTTATGGCCGCTACAGACGGCAACACGGAAGAAGCCTCCTCCGACGACATGTTCAAAGCTTCCACCAGCATCACGGCCATCGTCTCGATCCGTAGAGCTTTTCTGGAGAGATTTTGGGCGTGCTGGGTCATCTCGTGGGACGCGCCGAGGAACCAAGATGGCGAACCGTGATTTAAATGCGTGTGCGAGTTGAGAATAGCTCGTTCCGCCTGATCGTACTTCTCCATCGAAATGTTTGTACGCCTGCCCAGGTCCAGTAACATGTTCGACGGTAAGGTCATACTTTCGACCAGTGCACATATTGCTAGGAATCTGCGAATCGGAATCTGAGGATAGGTGATATAAGCTTGTTCCTATGTAAAGCTATGAAGAGTGTGTTGAAGTCGTTTTATCAAATTGCAGGTATAGAAAGCTAATGGTAGTGGTGAGCGTTTGAAACTAACGAAGCTGTGAGAATTAAGTGCACTTATTTAATAGCAAGTGCAGCAATTCTTGGTTCTGCAAGAGTGATCGCGTGAGAATGGGGTAGTCGTCAATTATTTGTAATAAAGTTGGATATAATGAGCTGGTTTGAAATATATTGAACGTAAATAGCGTGAGGATGGAAGGAAGGCTATTTCTATCATGATCTGAATGTCTATTGGAAGGACCATTAAAATCGTGGTAAAAGTTATTTTAACGTTTTTTAAAACTTCCATTGGTCAAAATGACTAACTCTACTTTTTCACAGTCTTCCAATAGTTGATGTAAAGCTTAAAAAAAGTGACTGAAATTTGACAAAATTCAGATTTTTCAAAAAGTGAAACTTATAATCGACATTTATACGATATTACTTTCATCGCAAAATATAGAACTCTGGATTTGTACTCCTCAACGACTAACAAATGTTTAATTATGCATGACAAAAATTGAAAATTTCATAGTAATATGAATCTCTCGAGCATTAACATTCTACGAATGTAGAAAGTGTTGAAAACACCATACTGTTACACCTTCTTTCGCAAGTGAACTCGTGAGAAATCGTCTGTGACTTGTATCATACAGTAATGTACCTTAAGGTTACCTAATAATTGTCATGTAAATTCAATGGTTTCCTTATTATCTAACTTGACAATGACGAGATAGGATCAACCATTAAACGCACAATTCTAAGGTTGGGCGTGTTTCGGTTGTAAGTTCTCGTCGCTTTTATTTCTCTATTAAAAATGAAACGAGGTACACGAGAAAATTAGGTAACATTAATTAAGAAAATTAGGTAATATCAGGAAGATTCACACGATCTATTCTTATCGTTAGCAAGAAAAAGAAAAGATCAGTCTATTGACACAGCTTGGATCGCGTGACTCGTTTTAAAATTTATCGCAAGTATTGCAATGAACTCCGCCCAGAACGGAAACCTTGTCTAGGAGATGGCATTTCGCCTGATTTCGCTTCGGGCATTGTTCATTGTTTCGTTTATTTATCGCGTTAAATTCATTCATCGATTCGCCCATATATGTATACGTAACGGCGACAAGTTTCTCAACTTGCTAGTTAACTATTTTTTCGGTCGCGTCGATACAGTGTACAGATGGAACAAATTTGCTCGACCTTAAGAAAAGATCGAAGAGAACTACGTTGTTTGACATTTAAGGTCTTTCCTGCTTCTTTGCAATTTCTTTACGTAATCTCCTCTATTTCCATGATTAATGCTCGTATGAACTGATAGAAACCATTATTTCAGATCGTGATTCATTTTTGATAAAGTAACTTCATAAAATTGTTCGTTTCTTTTCACTTTGAAATTAACAATAAATGGACATAGTTCTGTGCTTTCACAGATTATTTCGTAACATTAATTTTAATAAATTATTTAGCAATTGCTTTGCGATTCTTTCTGTTTTTTTTTTTTTTTTTTTTTTCGAAACGAATTATAGTTTTATAGGTTAACGAAATATAAATTTAACTGTAACCAAAATAATTTTTGAAAGAAGAGCAATAAGTTATATTATTCAAGTAAAGAAAGAATAAATGAATGTAATAACTTGAAAAAGAAAACTAAAATTTTTTAATCAAATTTGTCTGAGTTTTACTCAGGTCTTTCTATAAAATTGATTTTCAACAAATGGGGTCTTAATATTATTACCTCAATCATGTGTATGAATTAGTTAATATTGTAATAGAATTGTATCGAATTCTTATTCGAAGAATTCTATTTAAATGGAAAAGGAAAAAACACAAAATTATTATTGTTAATATAAAAAAATGGTAAAAACGTTAATTGTTTTATTTGCTGCAGAAATATTATAATGATGTACATTTATAATACTTTTTTATGTCATGTAACTACTTTTATATCCACAATTTGAATTGTTACATATGACAATTAAATATAATAGTCGTTTTACGAGTAATTATACTACGATATGACTTTCGTACATATTGACTTCCTTTCGATCATTCAAAACGAAGAAAATAATCGTTCATTATGAATGATACGCAATTTATTAGCGTATATTATTACCTTTCTTATTTTAACCTAACTTTCGAATTATTTTGGTTAGTATTATTTATTCTTCATTTGAAAATTATGGATAAATATGTAACATTCGACTGTTTACTAAGAAACAAACCATGAAAAAAGAAACGTGATCTTTTAAAGAACATGCTTCGAAATTACAGAAATTTTGTTTAGTGGTACAGTGTGACAAACATTCAATAAAAAAAAGGTTAAAATTTTATAAAGGTTATAATAAATTGTGCAACTATTTAGTACAGTTTAATGTGCCAATAAGTTCATCTTATAATGAATTTTATATAAAATACACATTTCCTTGTATATTTATTTTCAATCTTTCTTAGTAAAAATATTTACAATTGCTAATCTGCTGCATATTCAGAACAGAAACTATTATCATTGCTTAAATAGGAAGAGAAACTTCTAAAATATTATTCGAAGACTTCATTTGTTTGTGTGTGTTCTGAAATTCATCTTTTACGAACTTAGATGATATTTGAAAATAAATACAAGCACGTGACCTTGCTTTTGGTACTATGCTTTTAATACAATTACAATTTTAAGTAAATGTCAAAATAACATATAAAATACAAGGTGAAAAGTATGTCCTTATAATATATATGTGAAAAACAAGTGGTGTATTTTATTAGAAAAATAAGCCACTGTACGAAGAATAATTTGACTAAAACACATTTATTTTGCTAACGCATGCGCGTTACTACGAAATTTTCACTTCATTACATCTACTCATTGCCAAATAACATAGGTAATGTATTATTAATTAATAATTAATTAATCAACAATCAACTATATTAGTCAGCCATTTTAGATAATATTTGTTCTTTAATCAAATATTGCAGACCACAATCAGACAATTAAATGACAAATTCTACTTTAAGGGTGTAACTGATACGATATTCGCATTTTCCATGTTCTCTTCAAAATATATATATATATATCGGTAAAAGTACATTCAACCAATTTCTAATTTGACAAGAACCACTATGTACAAAATAAGTTGAGACATCGGTTAACTAGTAGAATGAAAGCAGAAAGACTCACCCCGACAGGAAAACAAATATATCGTTGATCGGTTTTTGTTTCATGCACATCGACATTTTTCCGAAATTATCGTCCCCGTACAACATTTGATCCTCTACATTAATGCACAATAGAATTCATTTGCCTTGTACAATTTCGCAAGAGCCGCGACGGGTATGCGCAAGAATACGAAGCGGCAAAACCTGAACTGAGCCGATCCTCGAACGAAAGTAAAACTTCAGATCGTCCGGTGGGTTTAAAGAGTGGGGTCCAGTAAGGATCACGCTCATATAGGGTGTCAACAATGTACATACGTTGAGTCGGCGTGTAACACTTAGAGACACGGTAAAAGTGCATCGTTGCTGCAGTCGCGGATTGGTATTATGAACAAGACCAAGGTTCCCCTTTCATAGACTATGTTATCCGTAGTCGCGGTTGGACGTACAGTTTCAAGGCTCCAAAGTGCATTCGCACTTTCGTATATACGATATATTATGTGTATACACATCCTACATGTTCCTTTACAGCATACATACTTCGCATTTAACTCCGCGGTGTCATTGCGCTATTCTAATTGACACTTACGGGCTTGACCGTAAAGTCGATTGTAGATTAAGATTCTTAGGAATAACGTCACGAATGATAAACTGTATTGGTTACACGCACTCGTACGCCTATGATCTTGCATCAATACGTGTTATTAGTTATGTCAAGTGTGTAGGGAGACAGATTTAAATAAAAACACACTAGGGACTGAAGTGATTTGAGAATTACTTGTGACATATTAATCGTTTTTACATTTTGAGGAAAAATTTAGTGGCTATTGTCTTAAAAATGATCGAAATTCACCGACAGGATCACATTTCCTATTCAATATGAAGAACTTAATTCTATAAATGTTAATTAATCACTGTTGTTATAGAAAAGGAAAGTGTAAATTATTATTTGGTAGTGTTATAAAAGAGTTTATAATCTTTGTATTGGTACATCAAGTATACATTTAAAATATTATTTTTGGACAAGTCTTCCATGTTGTGAAAGCACTGTATCACCATTTTATTCTTATTCCCTAAATCAGCAACAAATAGAAAAATGTGATCTTGATTTGAATATCGATGCTTACACAACATACATAATTAACATTACATGATCCATAAATCATAAATAATATTGAAAACTGAACTTTATATCTTGGATCCAGGGTTTCTATAACTACTTAAAAATAAAACTATGTCATCAGAGGCCTTGAGCACTTTTATTTTCGCTCTACGTGCCACCGTTTACATCTTTTATTTTTGCTATTTTTTATTTTTATAGTCACTTATTTATTTTTTATTGAAATTACCTATGATCGCGTTCATATTAGCATGTTAATATCTATTACTTAAATTGCAGAACTGGGTTCTAAGAGTGAATGTCATCTGTATTATCAAGAACTGCCCCACTATAAGCTAAATCCCAATAATGTTCAACTTGATGTTTCTTAAAGTGTTCTCGAGCCATTTTTTCGATCGGGCAAACTTTAAATTTGATTTCTCCGAAATGACGTTGTTTACTAGTACCTTCCCATACAAGAACGCATTTGTTGGGCACATCATTTCCATCGTTATCCTTTATTATATCTTCCTCCCATTTAATGCGATGCATCATTAATCTTTTATATTTACTTAATTGTTTTGCTCCACAGCCTGTGAGATAAAGCTGTTTTGCGTTTGTTTCCACTTTAAATTTCTTCGACGCATTATTTAAAAGGTCACGTATTCTGCAATGACAATATTATCATATAATATAAACATATAGCACAGTATTACCTATCCACATCTTTTAACTTTACCTATAGACAGCTACATGTACACCGAGTGTTGTATCCTCTTTAAGTTTTCTTGCCTTCTTTTCACGCCTTTGATCGGCAGTAAGTCTTCGAGCTGCATTTGCATCTTCATGTGCTTTTAATCTTTTAGCCATTTGTTGTCGAACGTGAGCTTCTATTTTTGTAGGATCTTGTACGGCTTCTGTACCTAATACTCGCATAAGATTTGAAATTCGCAATTTTGGTTCTGGTGGAGGTTCAAGACCTAACCGAATTTTTTCTTGTTCTTCTTTCCATGCTTCTCGTCTGTTTTGTCTGCGTAATTTCTTACGTTCTTTCTTTGTTAGAAATACAGGCATGTATATAGGTTTCAGTGGATCAGCTGAAATAATATAAAAAAATAAATAGCCATGAATAAAATGAACGTTTTTGTATTGCTGGTTGAAAAATACATACTTGGTGGTCGCATTTGCGTGGGATGCTCTACAAGGTTTGTAATAGTGGAACTTTTAATGGTTGTGGGTTCATTTTCATTTGGATATCCTCCTGTTAATATGACAGAATCCCACCATTCTACATTAGGCACATCTTCGCTAAGAGCTTCAGTTTTCGGTGCTATTAGCGCCAATTTAGTTGCTGAGCTTATACCAGTTTTTCTAGCAATTTGACTAATTTCATTTTGTAATTTTTCTAATTGAGCTTTCATACGAATTCTTTCCGCTAATTGCTGAAATTTTCCTGGTTCATGAAATTTCAATGTACGTTTGCCACGCACAGCTGGTTTTACACCTATTCTAGTATCAAAAAAGTGTGTATCTTGAATTTCTTCTGGACCTTTTGATTCTTGTAATTGTGCTTTAAATTCTTCACGTTTTTTTGCTCGAATATTAGCTTTTAATGTGGGTACTACTTGCGTAAGTTGCACTTCTTTACCCGTTATATCTACAGTTCTTCCAGATTCATCCAAGATTAAGGGAGTTGGTTTATCTGGAACACTGACATTACCAAGTAGTCCTGAACTTAGCTTACTTCTGATTTGAGCTTGTAAAGCAGCAATTTTTCTTGCTTTATCAGAATCTGTTTTACTTAATAAACCCTGATTATACATGCTTCCTACCGTTGGTAGTGATTCTCTGGCTTTAAGAAGAGGTTTCACTGGTGACACTTCTTCTTGCTTTATAGCTTTCAATGCCCTTTTCCTTTCTTCAATTTCTCTTTGAGCATTAGCCATCATTTGTCTTATCTGTATAAAAACATGTGATAAACAAATAGTTAACCTGATATTTACATTTACATTGTTACATTTGTTTATAAGATATAAATGAAATACCTTATCTGCAGACAATTGTGCTTCTGTTGTTTTTTCATTTTTTACTTCATCATCTCTAAACCTGGGTTTTTTTGAATCTTTGTCCTTTTCTTTGTCATCCATGTGATTTCGTTTTTTACTTTTCTGCGCCACTTTGGTATCATCATATATTGCAAATATTTTTTCAGTTAATTTTGAAGCCTTTTTATCTTCTAATAAAGCTGACAGTTTATCTATAAAATTGAATTAATTGTAAGGATTTATTGATGCTCTTACATACATGCGCACAAGTATCTTTGCTACATTATAAAACTCTTTATAAGTTATTATACATAGAAAATGTAATCCACTGGTGAGTAATATTGTCAATTAATACTAACCTGCTGTTTTACGTTTATCATAACCCGAAGTAATACAATTGACAGCAGTAGTAACAATAGCAGGCTCCCCAAAACCAAGAAACTTATGAACCGCTTTTTCAATTTGCGGTTTCATTTCATCTATTTCTTTTCTTGTTAAATATGCCATTTTTGCTTAGTTTGTTGTAAATAATTAATTCTTTCAAGAATCCGTCAAATTAATACAAAATGATTTTCTTCACAACATAACCTCTATAAATTGTAAGGTTATGTATCGCATTTCAAGTACACTTTCATTCAGGAACGATTATATCGTATATCGAAATGTGCCGAAAATTCTGTTATTCCAGAAAGGATTGTCATGATATTTGTTTCCAGAACAATATTTGTTTTCCAATTAAATATCGGCGAACGTACTCAAATATTATCGACATCACATTGCAGCACCATAATTGTTATTTAGTTACGTTCAGTTATTCACTAGATTCGTCAGTTAAACAGGTAATACAAACTTTCGTAGGACATTTTTAAAAAAATATCCCTAGGATTTCGTAAGTTAGTAGAAATTCGATCTAGTAAATTTTTAATATAAACTTTACAGTAAAAAAATCTAGAAGATAGGTTCTAGTTTTAGTTTTAAATATAAAAATAAACAATAAAATAATTTCAGAAAGATGTATTATGGCTGTTAGTATACTTGTACTATTTTTTTACTATAAAATCAAAGGTATCATTAGTGTAAATATTTGCGGCATATTATCCCGAAGAAATTAGTATTATCATTTTTTAATGTGTATTACCAATTATTGTCCGATGAAGCAAACTTTAAGGTCTAGTAGTGGAAGACGCAGGAGAAATTGTGTTGCCTCGCTGTTAATCAGCCAATCATGATACCATAAGGCGATCGCATTTTTTTGCGACGACTCGGCTTGGCGTAAGTAATTGGTAACAAATGAACCACGTGTCGATTTTCGAAGCGCGGGAACAGTGGCTGTCGGTTTGTTGTAATATGCTATTTTTTATTACAGTCAGCCATTTTTAAACTTCAATTTTTTTAAATGTTTCATATTGAACTTACTCAAAAGGGTACCCTTTAAGTAAAGATAAAATTAATTGTAATTTTCTCAATTACACATTGTTGTACGCGTTACTTTTGAATGCAACATTGCTTGAAGCGTTATACTTGAACGCAAACATTGTTGGCATCGCTATTTCTGACTGCAACATTATTAGAAGCGTTACTTCCAACGCTAACATTCTTACAGGCACTACGCTTGCATGTAACATTGTTACAAGCGTCATTCTCGCTTCTAACATCGTAAACTCGTATTATTTTTGAATGCACATTGTTGTATAATGTAAAACTTACTTGAAGGGATACCCCTTAAAGGAAGGACAAAATTAATTGGAATTTTCTTAATTTTACATTGAAGTAAGGAGTGCCTCAGCAACAATTATTTTAAATAATTGATATCGAGGCTTGGAAACGTCGTCACAGTATCCATTCTTTAAGTCGAATGGTATTTCAACGGGAGAATCATTGGAAATCACGCGAT